TCCAGGATTGGGGCGTGGTTATCTCTAGTGGTATCCCCATGGAGCCACATGCCTGCCCCCCCGGCTCCACTACCTGTCTGTTGCATTAAGTACATTTCAGTTGATGGAAACCATCACTGCCATTCATCTCCAGAACTTTAAAAAAGCCTTTTCAGAACTAAAACATTCTCTCCATCAAAATGCTAACTCCCAGGGCCAGCGTTGTGGCATAGCAAGTTAAGCCATCCCTTGCAATGCCCAGCATCCCATATGGGCACAGGCTTGAGTCCTGGCTGTTCCACTTCTGATCCAGCTCTCTGCTTAGTGGGCCTGAGAATACAGCAGAGAATGGCCCAAGTGCTTCAGGCCCTACACCCATGTGGGATACTCGAATGAAGCTCCTGGCTTCTGACTTTAACCTGGCCCAGCCCTAATCCTTGCAACCATTTGGTGAGTGAACCAGTGGATGGAAGATCTGCCTCCCTCTGTCTCTCCTTCCTTTGCAATTCTGCCTTTCAGATACTTTTCATCTTAATTGCTCATTAGCCTCTGGCAAACACCCTTTTTGTCTTTAACTAACTACCCTTGGTAATATTTATTTCATGAGTCCAGTTTATTTCACTTAACACAAGCCCCTCATAGTCCATCCCTGTTGCAGCCTGTCCCAGAATCTCCTCCTTTCCTTAAGGCTGAAACAAGTTTTGTTTGTGCTGGTGCTTCTTACTTATAGGGGGTCTTAGAAATGTTGGGGTTCTCAGCATTTCCCACACAACCACTAGGGGGCAGTAAAAGACGCACAAAATTTTTCACCAGCCCCAATAGTACTGCCAAGTTACTCCTTCCCTGTGTATCTCTTTCAGCCATCTAGGTATACAGTTACGAGATAATGGAATTCACCTCCTGCAGAAGGTCTGGGTAAGACTAGAGATCACATGAGCTGTAGCCCACGCCCAGCACCACATCCGCTCTGTAGGTGTCGGATTGCATTTGTGTCTCCTGCACATTAGTCCGCGAAATCCAGACAGAACACAAATCAGAAATCACCCAATGCCTGGGCCTGGGCCTCTTCTCAGAATCTCTGGGGTTGGGGGCCCGTTGATTATTTTTATGCTGGCCCCTGACTGCTAGCTAAGAACCCGTTGATCATTGGAGGGAAATGGGTCTCCCTTGAAGAAAACCTCCGAGGTGCCTGCCTAGGATGGGAACTCTGAAAATTCCTTTTTCAGAAGTGACTCAAGTGGCTGTGGAACCACATCCTAACCAACCACACATGAGGCTTCCCTGCAGAGGAGCATCTGTAATTTCCCAGCCTGGTAACCCGGGCAGAAAATCTGAACCTGGGATAGTCAGCCCTTGCCAGCTCAGGGCCCTGTGACTCTTGCTTCAGGATGGCCATGCTTGGGGCGGGGCAAACTCGTTAGTTAGCATGATGCTGCAGTTCAGCTAGGCAACACCATATGGTACCTGGAGACAACCTTCCCTTTAGCAATCTGGGAAGCAAGACCTTCCATTGTATGTCTCTAGGGATTAAAATAATAATAATAATAATAATAATAATAATAACAACAACAAGACACAGTGAACCTTAGGTGGGCTCAGGAAGCCACAGGTCACCCTGGGTCAGCCCTCCAGCCAAATATTCTACCTTTCCCGCCTCCAGGCGTGTCACAGCAATTGCTCAGGTCTCGGGTTCCTTTTAAATCATGAAAGGATTGGAAGATGTTGGTCTCCTAGGATCCTTTCAGCTCCCAAAATGCAGTGGTTTCCATTAGTATTAATAATCTTGATTTGTAGGGAGTGCCGTGGCAAGGAGCAGGCGAAATATTCAGTAATGCGATGACTGACAAGAAACTATTGACCACGGAGTGTAATTTATTTAAGGCGCATACGCTGAATCCAAAGGAGAACATATTGCTCCTGATAATGTATTGAACTATTAGTATCTTTGGCATAGAAAGAGCTTGCTTTTCAGAGGAGCAAACTACCCCCTCAGTGCACCTGACATGGCACACTTCCTGGTCTGTGACTGTCATTGGTCCAGCCAGCTTGTATTTACCGTAAAGGGCCACGTGCATGAACGCGTTGGATGAATATTAAATAACTACACGAGCATCAAGGTTGCAGTTGCAAAAAGCACTTGGTGGAAGGCCCTGGAGGCTTGCATTGATCCCCCGTGAAGTGCCCGTCTCAGATCCTGCTGACAGGGGGAAACAATTGATGTGGACCATTATTAAGGCTCTAAGTATTTCTCCATTGTTAAAGATCTCCTACAAGCCCAGAATAACTGATAGCACCCAGGGAATTGGCAAAAACTTCACTTAGAAATATGGGCTGGTCCAAGAGTTAAGTACAGGCCAGGGCACTTGTGTCCCAGGTTGGGCTTAACTGGCACCGGAAGAGGGCTGCTGAGGTTTCCCACTCAGGGACAAACCAGAGTTCTGCTGCTAGGCGTGCCTTCAGCCACAGACTCCCCCTGCCTGGCCTGCTGTCAGCTGCGGAGTCCAGAGGGGGGCTTCAGGCCCCACAGAGAGGGGGCTTCCTCTTTGGGTTTGCTCCTTCTGTTTATTCTTCAGAGCTGTGCAAAGCATCTTGTGCGTCCTCGGGCATCTTTCGTCCACTTTCTGAGGCAATGACAGAATACCTGGCACTGGGTCTGTTCTAGACAAAAACTGTATCTCTTGCAGTTATGAGGGCCAGGAAGTCCAGGATGCAGATGCCACCACCCTCCACTGAGGGCCTCTTTGCTGCCCTGTAACCCAGCAGAGGGGTCACATGATGAGGCAGGAGTCAGCTCTCCTCTGCCTCTGAGGAAGCCTTGGGACCATTGTGTGGGGACCCCGCCCTCAAGACCTCTCTACATCTTTTTTTTTTTTTTCCCTTTTAAAGAGATGTATTCATGTATTTGGAAGGCAGAGTCAGAGAGTGAGAAGGAGAGGCAGAGAAGGCCTCCCATCTGCTGGTTCATTCTTCAAATAGCTACAGCAGCAGCTGAGGCTGGGCCAGACCAGAGCTAGGAACCAGGAACTCCTTCCAGATCTCTCATGTGAGTACAAGGGCCCAAGCACTTGGGTCATCCTCCACTGCCTTCCCAGGCCCATTAGCAGGGTGCTGGATGGGAAATGGAGTAGTCAGGACTCAGACTGGTGCAGGCGATGGTTTAATCCTGTGCGCAGTAACAATGCCCCCACCATCTACTCTCCATCATCTCCTCAAAGCCTCACCTCCAAATACCTTACACGCATTTGGAGGCCACATTCAAATGATGGTGCTGGGAAGTGAGCACTGTGAATTGTGCGCAGCTGCAGGTGCACATCAGCCATCCGGTGCGGCCATGTGGCCAGATGACAATGGGCGTGTCCTGCTGACCTGGAGCTGAGAGGCAGGCAAATGCCATGGAATCCAGTTTCATAAAGATCTCAACAGACTGAAGGATGGGCCAAGCCAGCCAGGTGAACCTGACGAAGGATGTAAACCGTAAGCCACACATTTCCCACGCGTCAGCTCTGTGGTTGGCATTTGGCTCGGCCCTTGGCATATTTTAGTTTCTTTCATCTTTATTTTGACCTGGTAGGGGTGGGGTTTGTATGTCGTGTTTGTAAAAGAATGATGTGGCAGTATAGGGGAAGATGCTGAGGCTCTAGAGTGTTGGCCGAGGGGGCCGGCATTTGATCTAGAGTGTTAAGCTGCTGCCTGTGACATGGAGTTCAGTGTACTCTACTTCTGATCCAGCTTCCTGCTAATGGCCTTGGGAAGCAGCAAAGTGTGGCCCAGGTGTTTGGGACCCTGCATCCCTACAGGAAACACAGGTGAAGCTCCTGACCCAGCCCTGATCACAATGTGGGCATTTGGGGAATGAACCAGCAACTGAAAGATTTTTATTTCTCTTTTACTCTCAGTGTAACTCTGCTTTTCAAATAAAAGAAACAAAAAAACTTTTAAAGAATCATTGCTCTAGAAGACTCCAATCCTAAGTTGGCCACCTTGTAAAAAATAGCAGTAGCAGGGCCAGGGTTAATGGTGGAGCAAGTTAAGCCACCTCTTGCAACACTAGCATTCCATAAGGGAGTCCTGCCTGGAGTCCCGGCTGCTCCCTTTCCAATCCAACTCCCTGCCAAGGCGCCTGGGAGACCAACAGCAGAAGGTCCGAGTGTCTGGGTCCCTGGCAGCTGTGTGGAATGCCAAGCTAGAGTTCCTGCCCCTTGGCTTTGGTCTGGCCCATCCCTGGCCATTGTGACTGTTCAGGGAGTGAACCAGCAAATGGAAGATGTCTGTTTCTTGCTCCCTCCCCCTCTCTGTGTCATTCTGCCTTTCAAATAAATAAATCTTTAAAAAATGTCCATTCTGAAACTTCTGGCTTTCTTTTCCATGTCAGAGTCGGAGTGCTTGGCCCCTTGTGTGTGTTCTCTGCTGCATCCCTGGAACCATCTTACCCCTGTTTCACAGTGGTGGGAGGCACAAACAACTTGAGTTGCCCTACATTGTGAGGGACCAGGCCTAGGATCTGACCCTGGGCATCTGACCCTGGGCATCTGACTGCCACATCCACCTTCTTAACACTTGCTGCACCCTCTCCATTCCCTATAGAATGAGAAGGAAGCGACCAGTTTTTCGTGAGGGTTAGACAAGACACCTGCTGTTAACCCAGCATGATAGGGGCATACTGTAGGCACTCCTCCATGGCATCGGGTCACCCTTCTTCTTTTCTGCACTGCTGTGATTTGAGGTTTTAGCTCATTACTGGCAAACCCAGCCTCACACACCCTCATGACAGGTTTGACAGCCAGTAGGCAGCACTCTCCCATTCGCTGTGGGACCTGTTGTGATGTCACCGTCTCAGCACCCATGGCAGTTGTCCCTCCAGAGAGCACCTAGACAGACAGGAATCCTTCTGTCACCTTGTCTACCAAACATTGGCTCAGGTTCCCCGCCGCCCCTTCCACCCCTCCCCGACTCCATGCTGGGGATCCAGCAGCCCAGGGGCTGTGGTTCTAAAACCATTTACGTTCGTGTCCCTGCTCCAGGTGCGAATGGTGAAAGAAGGGAACCCCGCCTGGAAGCCCACTTTTATTGTGAAACCCGATAGCGGCTGTCAGGGTGATGGCATCTACCTCTTCAGAGACCTGGGCGACTCCCGCCTGTTGGGGACCCTGCGGAGCCGGCCCGCGGTGATCCAGGAGTACGTGTGCAAGCCCCTCCTCATTGACAAGCTCAAGTTCGATATCCGCTTGTACGTCCTGCTCAAGTCCCTGGACCCCTTGGAGATTTACATAGCCAAAGATGGCCTCTCGCGGTTCTGCACGGAGCCCTACCAGGAGCCCAGCTCCCAAAACCTGCACCACGTCTTCATGCACCTCACCAACTACTCGCTGAACATCCACAGCGGCAAGTTCATCCACTCGGACAGCGTGAGCACGGGCAGCAAGAGGACTTTCTCCAGCATCCTCTGCAGGTTGTCTTCCAAAGGCGTCGACATCAAGAAGGTCTGGTCTGACATCATCTCCCTGGTAATCAAGACTGTCATCGCACTGATTCCACAGCTCAAAGTCTTCTACCAGTCCGACATCCCCACGGGGAAGCCTGGCCCCACCTGCTTCCAGGTAACAGCCACAGTCACCCAGCGCCTCAGCTTAACAGGACTGGTGGGGGCTGCCTGGCCCAGTGTTGGTACTAGGATGGCCATAGGGTAGGAAGAGGGATAGTTACTGGTGTGGGCTTAGCTGTAAAACCTGGGCCCCTGCCTTCCAGCTATGGGTTTTCCTTCTGTTATGCTAAAATATGATTAATAATACTTGCTTTTGAGGCTTATTATAGGAGCTTAATGAAGTTATAAAACAGAGGGTCATTCATTCATTCATTCAATCATTTAACAGTTCATACCACTTGCTTATCAGTAGGGGATCCGGCTCTGTCCTAGGCACTAGAGAGTCACTAAGCAAGTCAGGTCCCTGAGTCTGTGACAGGAGACTCATCACTTGAAAAGCCACTATGGTGGAGCACCATGAGTGATGGTGTGGGTGAGGACTCATGCTGGGCCCTCTATGGACCCAACTAGCACTCTCTGGGAGGCACAAGTGGCCAGGAAAGACTCCCAGCAATCGGCCATTCAGCTGGCTTTCACCCTGGAAGGTAAAAAGGAAGCGGTGTGTGTTGGAGGTACTATAGGGTTCAGGTGGTTGGAAGGTGGGGATGAAGCAGGGGAGGGAAGACGAGGTGGAAAGGTAGGTAGGGACAGGTGTGGGAACAAAGTGACACTCAGGCATGGATGCGCCCAGATGGGCAGGGTGTCTGCCAAGTGGAGACTGGGTTGAGGCCAAGCTGGAGGCCAAAGCGTCCTTGTTAAGACTATTGCTGTCATGCTAGAAGAGGGGATGCTGACTTGGATTAGGAAGGCCATGGTGGAGCATCTGGGGGCTGTGTAAGGAGCAAGAAGGGTTGGACTTGGGGGCTCTTTGGGGCTTGGGACAGACATGGTAACAGAGAGGGACAGGGACCCTCAGGTCAACTCACACAGGTGGTTTGGGCTCTTGAGTAATGGGATGGAGGCCACCTGATGAGGACCAGGCTGATGGAAAAAGGTTGGGAGTCAGACTCAAAGTGTTTATATGACCTCCAAGGGGAGAGGCTGAGAGAGCAGTTAGATGTTTGGGGGAAAGGGCTAGAGAAAGAGATGACAACCTGCTAACCTTCAGGTGGCGACTGGAGATGACAGGGGTGGGAGGAGGACTCAGAAGACCCTGTGGGCACCACTGCTTGCTGAAACTAAAGGCAGAGCTGGGGAGCCAGCAAGAGAGGCTGAGCAGCAGCAGTGTGAGGTTGAGAAGGGCTCTCAGGAGAGGAGCTACCCCAGATACCCAGGCATGGGCACTGGGAAAAGCAGGCACAAGTCCACCAGGTCCAGTGCTGGGGAGATACAAACTGAGTCCAGCACTGAAACCATCCATTGGGCCGGCTAATAGAGGGTCGGCTGGGCACTTGTCACCATGAGCCAGGGACTTGGAGGAAGGAGGGTCCCTTAGCTGTAAGTTTGGTGTGGTGGTGGCTGAGGGGTTCAGGCACTTGGTAGGCACACACTGGTTGGCCACCCCATGAAGGAGGGTAGCAGGAGAAGCCAGGAAGAGTGGCTCCAGAACTTTCTCCATTGCATTTGAAAGGTTATTTTGTAGAAGTTGATGTGCTTGGATCCCTGCCACTGCTAGGGGAGATCTGGGATGGGGTTCCTGGCTGCTGGATTCAACCTGGACTGGATCTGGCTATGGTGGTTATCCGGAGTGTACCAGCAGAAAGATGATCTCTCTCCCTCTTCCTGTCATTCTACATTTTAAAAGACTGAGATAAATGTTTTTTAAAAGATGTTAGGAAGTCTAAGTGGGCAGAACTTAAGAGGTGTGGCACAAGAGGAAACAAGGCTTGACCCAAAGCACTGGAAAGTTTGCAAAGGGGCAGGCATGTGACCCAGCAGCGCAGGCACCGGTAAGTGTGCCCGCATCCCACACTGGGTGCTTGGGTCAGTACCCAGCCCCACTTCTGAGACCAGCGACCTGTTAATGTAGACCTGGGTGGTAACAGGTGATAGTCAAGGACTAGGCTCCAGGCATCCACATGTGAGACTCAGCTGGGTTCTTAGCACCCAGCAGTGACCCCAGCACAACCCTGCCAGCAGTGACCCCAGCCAGCAGTGACCCCAGCACACAGCCCAGCCAGCAGTGACCCCAGCACAACCCCAGCCAGCAGTGACCCCAGCACACAGCCCAGCCAGCAGTGACCCCAGCACGGCCCCAGCCAGCAGTGACCCCAGCATAACCCTGCCAGCAGTGACCCCAGCCAGCAGTGACCCCAGCACACAGCCCAGCCAGCAGTGACCCCAGTACGGCCCCAGCCAGCAGTGACCCCAGCACAACCCCAGCCAGCAGTGACCCCAGCACAGCCCCAGCCAGCAGTGACCCCAGCACAACCCTGCCAGCAGTGACCCCAGCACAACCCCAACCAGCAGTGACCCCAGCACACAGCCCAGCCAGCAGTGACCCCAGCACAGCCCCAGCCAGCAGTGACCCCAGCACGGCCCCAGCCAGCAGTGACCCCAGCCAGCAGTGACCTTAGCATGGCCCCAGCCAGCAGGCATTTGGGGTCGGGGAATGAACCAACAAATGGAATCTCTCAGTTTCTCTCTCCCTCCCCTGCTTGCTTGCTTGCTTGCTTGCTTTCTTTCTTTCTTTCTTTCTTTCTTTCTTTCTTTCTTTCTTCCTTCCTTCCTTCCTTCCTTCCTTCCTTCCTTCCTTCCTTTCTCTCTCTCTCTCTCTCTCTCTCTCTCTCTCTCTCTCTCTCTCTCTCTCTTTCCCCTCCCCGGCCCCACATCTCTCTCTCTCTGCTTTTCAAATCAATATTTAAAAAAAAGTTAGGGCAAAGAAGAGGATTGCAACGTGGACACATCTGTACCCATCCTGGAGGAATGTGTGGTCACATCTGACAGTTATTCCAGGACTGTCATGTGGCATGGCAGGCACAGCCAAGCCACACGGTCCTGGCACGGCCAGAATGGCAGGGTGGAGGGTCAGGGTGATCGCTTTGCTGCTTGTCTGCCTATGGACAGGGCTGCGTGGGGCAGCCATCTGAATGGAACCAGCATAGACAGGGCTGGAACCGCTGGTTTGGACAGATGACATCCAGCCAGTGGAGCCGCAGTCTGGTGAGCGTTTCTGCCACTTGGCAGCTCTGGATGCTTCAATGCCTGGGGTGAGGATGAGGGCATGATGCTGCAGGTCAGGTGCAAGCACGAGCGAGTCCTCTCTGCATCTGCAGGACCTCAGGTGGGTGTGTGCTCGCCACCCGGAGCCTCAACTTCTGTCTCCTTTGGTCACCCACACTCCCTTCCCTAGCTGCCTTTTTAGAAAGTGTTCAGTGCAGAAACACAGGCAAGGGCAAGTTGGCAAGGAATCGCAGACGAGACATTTGGAACTTGTTTTCCTGTGAGTTCAGTTAAACAGGGACGGACAGAGGAAGTATTGCCCTTTCCTCCTTGGCGTCTTCTCTTTCTCCATTCTGGTCACTGTGAGAACATTTTATGAGCTTGGGTCTGGAGTACCTGAACTGATGTGGCATCCAACCATTCAGGTACACAGTATCATTTTGTCTTTAATTTGCTGTGTGACCTGGCCTAAGTCACTCAGCTGCTCTGTGTCTCTCTTTCTTCCCCCACTTCCCAGGGTTGTTGTCCAACTCAAATGAGACAATGATTATAGGACGAGTGAAAGGATCCTGTGGACATCGTAAGAAATTATTTCTTTTCCCCAGAGACTCTCTCACTTTGAGCCATGACCAGGCCAACATGCAGCATTCCAGAGCTTAATCACTAGCCAACAAAATGACATTTTTCTTACCCATATGACTGCGACCCCTCTCAGCCACAATGACTGCTTAGGAAGCTGGAAAGGCTTGGAGCAGCTATGGTATGGCCCAGGCTGTGGGCAAGCCATCCTGTAATCTGTTGCCTGGGAACATGGCCGCCTTGTCATTTCAGCCTGTCCCCTGTCATTGCTCCCACAGCAGCCCCTGGCAACATACCCTCCTGTAAGTCTTCTTGAGGGCAGTAGTGGTGTGACCCTGGCCAAGACAGCAAGGTCCATCTGTGCATTGATGAGTCATGGGGCAGAAATACACATGCACAGAGTCAAGGATTCCAGTTCAGCCTTCTGGAACATTCCATCACTTGGCCTGGATTCTCCTGTAACTTCCTGTGTCTCATTCTCTCTATGGCCTTTTCCCTCAAGTGTCTGGAGAGACAGCTTTCCTACACCCTAATGTGTTTTTCCTCTTTGGTCATTTTTCGTTTATTTGTTTACCTTATTTTTGCCTTCCAGCCCAGACACTCCAGAAAGATGAGGCCAAGGAGCAGGGTGGCAGTGAAGGGGTTTGTTTGTGGCCACCCCTGGTCTCAACTAACCCTAGCTACCCCTGCCAGCAGCTCTAGCTTGTGAACTCAGAGAGTTGGCCTTGTTTAGTTTCAGTTTCCTTCTCTGCAGACAGAGCTCATTTTTGTGTGCACCTCTCAGAGTTCTTGTTAACTCGAGTAAGAGGTGAATCAGTGGCTCACTGATCACAGACCTTAGCATGAAGAAGTCAGCTGGTAAGTCACGGTGGACTTAACAGAACCTTGGTTGTTATCTGTAACAGCCATTCTCAGTCCTGTATAACAGATAGCCTTGAAGTTATAGGATCCAACTACTTGAACCTTCATCTTCTGCCTCCTAAGGTGCACATTAACAGGAAGCTGGACCGGAAGCAGAGGCAAGACTCAAGAGTGGGCACTCTCACATGGAATTCAGAATCCCCAAAGTCAGCTTAGTCACAGAGCCCATCCTGAAATGGACACATTTAAATAGTCCAAGTTCAACTTTCTCCTATCTGAGCCCTCCAGCCTATAAAACCAATCCGATGCTGTCTCTTGGACATCACTCATGCTCTCCTGGTGCTGCGGCTGAATTCATCTCTGTGTTGGCCGGCCTGGCAAGCTCTCCCTCATTCTCACTGCTTTTGGAAGGTCAGTGTCTCTTCCACAGTGCTGCTCAAGTTCTGCCTTCCCTGGGAAGTCTTCCTTGGAGAC